TAGGAGTTACTGCTGGTATTTGCCCTTTCAACTTCCCCGCTATGATCCCACTATGGATGTTCCCCTTGGCCATTGCCACTGGAAATACCATACTACTTAAACCTTCAGAACAGGATCCTGGAGCTTGCATGATGCTTGCTGAATTGGCCAAGGTAACTTGGCAATGTTTATTAAGTACTTCAGGATTAATTATAAGTTCCTTAAGGAAGCTGGAATTCCTGATGGTTGCGTTAATGTGATTCACGGGCAACACGATGCAGTAAACTTCATCTGCGATCATCCAGATATTCGTGCCATATCGTTTGTCGGTGCTGACACGGCGGTAAGTAGCAGTGCTTCAACACAGCTACCTCGTTGATCCAACGTCTCATAAGCGCGATAACATTCTCTTGCGTAAAGCTGAAAAGTTCGTTGTCTGCTAATATCGAAGAGCTAGTATTGGTAAACTCTACCTATCTGACATATTAGGACCTGTTATGATGTTATGATAATGTATGATAATTTGAAAGTTCTGGTGATATCATATAATTCTTTTATTTTTAATTTCGCACTGAGCTGAAGTCGTTTGCAGATGAAAAAGGAAATTTGCTAAGAAAAAGATAGCAAATACATGCTGTTGTGTAATGTTTATGACCAACAACTAATACTTCTGGAAGTTTATGTGTTATAGTCTGATACTATGTGCACTGCAAAAATTGAGCTATAGCTCATTTTTTTCTTTTTGCATTGCACGTAGTATCAGACTTAAATTCTTATTTGATGAGTAACAGATGTCAGACATTCAAAAAAAAAACAACATTATTATAAATTATCAGATTCTTAGCGCACATTACTTCAGAATATGATCAAGATATTCAAATGATATATTTATAAAACTAACATCTCCCATTTTAGGGTAAACACATTTACGAAAGAGGAGCTCGAAATGGAAAACGAATGCAGTGCAACATGGGAGCGAAAAATCACGGCGTAATTATGCCAGACTGCAACAAGGAGCAAGCGTTGAACCAGGTTTGAACAATTGCAGT